GACACCCTGTCTGACGGGCTTGCCATAAGTGGCACCTACAGATCAAGAGGAGCGAAAGAGGTCAGAGTTTACAAGAGATCCAATAAGGGATGGTACGTTACCCTTTGGAACGGGCTTTTTGCGGTTACCCCTACGAACACGAATTCGATAGATGAGATAACCTTGCTTCGCCTTGTAGCCAAGGCGGCGAGCTTTATCTGGACGCGATGGACGCGAAGCACGGTGGATAACGTTCAACTGGCGGTATTCCCAGCATCTGAGAGATACAAGACACAACTAGGTCAACATGAAATTCCACAGCTCGACTACTTTGGTAGCACGATAACCTCGCAGGCCTGAAGGGAAAAGACAACATACCGAACGCGGAGGAGGAAACGCAGGACATCAGACTGCTTCTTCTTGTAGAGTTCCCCAACGTATTTGTAGGCACCCATGGCTTATTTTTTGACGCCCTCGACAAGTCAGAGTGGGTCGAATTTCTGTTTGGTTTGTTTATCGCTGTTTGGCAGATGCCTGCGCCGCACGGAAAAGCCCGACTAGGTCAGGAGCCAATCCGATATGACGACCCATAGTTTAAACAGGATCGAGTATTATACCCATTTTATCAAACTCATTTTAGCAATTATTGGGAATTTTAGAGAGACCTCGCCCAAGTAGTGCAATTCCAGTCATTGGAGGATCGACCATTAACCAAATCTTGGAGTTTGCCATCCTTGGCTATAGGAAGGAAGACTACCCACGACGGCGACAAACCCCAATTGTGAAAGAGAAAAGTCTGTAAAAACAAGATCGTCAAAAGGCGACCAATGTCCTCGCCTGAAGAACAAATCCTCCAAGCCATCGCCATCGCAAACGATCACAAACTCCAGGGTCAAGAGATCCATTCACAGGCAATCAACTTTCTCAACACCGTACGCTCAGATAGTAATCAGTCATGGCGTCCTGCGTTATCCCTCTTTGTTGCCACAAACGACGATGGCACGCGCCGATTTGGTGAAGACGTCCGGCTCTTCGCTCTCAACATCCTCGCCGACTTTTTGGACATTCGGTTCGTTTTCTCTCCTCCTCGTTCATGACGATTGGTTTCGCTGACGAGAAACGCGTCAACATTTGCCCCTCTCCTCCCCTTTGGGTTTCGTGACATTCTCCATTTCCTGTAGTAATTCCAAAGGGAAACTTTCCGACGATGATTTTGGGACACTGCAAGAACAGTTTATGACATATCTGCGTTCAGAATATCTCTATGGTCAAGCCGAAGGCGTCCATTTCTTCATTCGAAACAAGTTTTCGTACGCACTCACTCTCCTCTTTCTCGCCTCATACGAGACACAGTGGCCCACCTTTTTCGACGACATCTTTCTCCTTCTCAAACCCCCACCGGAATCGGGCGCACAGTCCTTGAACCCACATGTCTCCAATTTTTTCTTCAAGCTCATTTTGGAGATGTCGTCAGAGGTTGCGGATCAGATTCTGAAGAATGCAAGACAGTTTAGTGCGGAACGTATGGCGCGTGATGGACGAATCCGCGATCTCGTCAGAGAAAAGGATGCTGCGAAGATCAACACTGCTGTTTTGGCGATTGTAATTGAGAGTAAGCAGGTTCTCGATCAAGCAAGGGCCGAGAATGCAAAGGAAAAGGTGTCTACACTGGAAGAAGTGGTCGACAATGGCGTCCGGGCCTTTGCTAGTTACGTTCGTAAGTGCTCATCCGATAAAGAGAGCCAATTTACACAGTCTTATATCCATCGTGATAGCTTGGATTGACATCAACCTCACCGTCACCCCCGATACGATCACCCTACTCTTTTCTCTCCTATCAGATCCGGCACTCTCCATCCGACTCGCCACTTGCTCCTCTCTACGAGGCATCGTTTCCAAGGGTCTGAAAGTAGCTTCAGACAAGCTCAAGGTTATCCAAGTTCTGTCCCTCACCCCAGTCTTGCAGCAACTAGAGGCACAAACGGTCGCTACCCGTTCCACTTTACCCGAGTATAGTCACGATGTGGAGACTTTCCGAGAGGCACTCGCTCGTCTAACCAATGTCTTGGGTCTCGAGCTTGTCTCCCTGTGCAACGACGTGAGTGAATCGATTCTTACGGGGGAATGGGAACCGTGACCCTATAGATTTATAGAGCATGCTTCCACCCGATGAAGCCCAGACCTCTGGAGAGCTTTTGATCGAGCTAGTCCCTATCGCATTACGTTTTCTTGCCGATACCTATGACGATACTTCCTTTTCCATATTCCCCCTCCTCACTGAAATCCTCAACTCGGTAGGTTCCCTCTCTGGTGTATGATCGCCGATCTGACTCGAGCACACCCTTGTAGTACAAGAAGATGAAGCAGGCCTCTCCGCATACATATATGACCGCCGAGAAACGGGAGTTCCTGGTGGATACACTCACTATACTAGTCGAGAAGCTCAAGTGGGACAAGGATGCAAATCCTGAAGACTTTGATGACGAAGATATGATGTTCTTTGAGAATATGCGAAAGGTGCCTGGGCTCCAACGTTTAATTTACAACCCTGAACTGAGTCTTTCTTAGGATATCCGCAAGACAATTGATTCTATTTATACCTTTGATTCGGAGCTCGTGACTGGGACCATATCCGAGAAGGCTCTCAATACGTTGAGCGAATATGAAGCTGGCTCCCAATTGTCTTGGGAATCTGCGGAATTGGCCGTTTATCTTGTCTTCATGTATGGAGAAATCGGTGGAAAGGAGAAAGGTACAGACTTTCTTCCTTGATAATTGCATATGATGCTGACTCTGTGCTAGGGAGAGGCCGGACTGCATTTTGCGTGGCTCCACCCAATATCCCAAAGGAGGCGCGGAAAACAGTCGACTATTCCAACTATCCTTTAACTCCTCAGGGGGAGATGATGCAAGCTTTGATTCGCTCTCGTATCTCGGCTTATCCCCATCCAAGTGTCGCTATGCAGTTCTTCGAAACGGCTGCTCGATACGCAGACTTCTTTAAAGTGCGGAAAGAGCACGTCCTCCCCGCACTAGAGGCCTTTCTCGACTCTCGGTGCGTGAACACTCTCATCTGTAGCTTTGTTCTGATGACCCTCAAAGAGGTATACACCATCCATTAGCCGCCGTGAGGAAACGTGTCTTTTATTTATTCCACCGTTTTGTTCAAATCTTACGAATCGATATCGACCCGGCCCACGTGTCCGTAATTCTCCAGGCAATCCAGGACCTGCTCACCGTCGACGTGGAAATTCCAGACGACTTTGAACCTCCACCCGGAAGCGACATCTTGTCAGAGTTACTCAAAGAGGGGGCTATGTTCGACACACAACTATATATGTTTGAGGCCGCAGGGAGTCTCGTTTCGATTCTTTGGGCAGTGCCTGAGATTCAGGCCGCGACGCTGCAAGCCGTCATAAACCCCATTCTTACTCGACTCTCCAACTGCTTACAAATTCCTCTCGCGGGAAGTGATGCGGATCATCTCAATATCCTTACTGTTCATCATTGTATTCGTGCCCTTGGTAGTATCCCCAAGGGGTTCCCAGAGTATCCATCCCCGGTTCCTCCAGACTACATCCCTCCTCCAATCGCCGAATTTCGTCAGATCGCCGAGGCAATCCTCATATCTCTCAATATCATGGGCCAATTCCGCGTAATTCGCGAAGCGGTCAGTATAATCAAAATTTGCACACTTTTGGTTCTCTGATCTAGTTCTCTTCTAGGCCCGATTTTCGTTTGGACGCTTGATCTTTGCTGCAGGCCCCTCCATTACAGAATTTATCCCCCGTCTTATGGCATCCCTCCTCTCTCACTTTGAGCCAACAGAGTTTGTGGACTTTATTGGATTCCTCTCGCATATGACCCACAAGCTTCATGTCTGTCCAAGTCTTTGCCTCTATTCCCTCTTAACTGAAATTGGCTTTATAGGAGCAGCTTCGCGGAGTCCTGGACGAGATTCTGATGCCCCTTACGACACATATATCTACCGTCATTTCGCAATTTGTCACTGGCACTGACGATAGTGTCGCACGTATGGACACTAAAAAGGCGTATCTCACCTTCCTCAACACCATCATGTCATCACATCTCGGTTCTATCTTTGTATCTCAACGTGAGTGTATTCCAGAAGATCGTCAAGAGAAAAGATCCTGAAAAGATACTCTTAGAGAACATGCCTAATCTGCAGCCCTTCTTGGAAACGGTCCTACAAATGGCAGCTGACAGTTCCGATTTATTAAACCAGAAGCTTGCCCTATCGTTCCTTGCCAAGTTCTTGACCTCATTTGGCCATGCTACAGCTCCAGAGACGACAGGTACGAGTGCAGCCACAAACGGAGTCGTCGTCGTGGTACCCGGCATCGAGCAATTTATCTATCAGCGTATTTTGGTAATCATATTTGGGATTCCCCTTCACCCAGATTTTAATTTGAAGGATGGACAGTCCATCGCGGTGAGTCCCCCCTCCCCTTCTTAGTCGAACCTTTGAATCAGATGACTCATACTTGCGCAGGCCTTGAACGAGATCGCCACCTTATTTCAAACAATTATCAAAGTGCGAGGAGACGAAGCGGTCTCGTATATCTCTACGGTCTTTTTGCCCTCGCAAAACCTGACCCCGGAGAAGTCGTTGGAGCTGACGAACAATATGCGGACAATGGACAAACGTGGTTTCCAAAAGTACTACTCCGACTTAATCAAGGCCTCTCGTTCTTGACGATGATGGCTTCCTTTTTTTTGTTCCGATCCACTTCACGGCACCTCTTCACTTTCGTACTTTCCCTCTTGCCCCTTGGTTTCGCGTTGACCGTCGTCAGTGCTTGATGTTCACGCTATGCTCTTCTCACTCTCGCATCGCGCACTTTTTGTAGCCAATCCGTATGTATTGAAGTCATCATCATCGATATAACCGAGTTTGAGAAAGAGATGGCAGACTCTTCCTTCTTGGAAAAAATCAACGTCAAAAGTGTCATGGAAGCATGCAAGGGCAAAAAGAAATATTGTTATAATTGGCAAAACTCTGGTCTTGGCGAGATTTGAACTCGCGACCCTTGCATAGATGTTTTCCCATAAGTACAAAGCACTAACCACTGTGCTACAAGACCTAAAATCACCTAATCGAAGGTATTCATGCTACATGAATTATTTTGAACTCACATTGGATCAATTTCGGTATATATGGCGAGTATATTAGAGCAACGAATCGAAGAAACCATTCTTCCAGGTTACAGTTCGAACGACGTTTTTCAAAGAGATACTAATCTCAATAGTTTACATCATGGAAGATAACGAGTCTCCTATGAATGCTCGCGTGGTTTGGGTGTAATTCCAGATTTATCTTAGACAGTGACTAATCATCACACGTAATTACTTGTTAAAGCATATTTGATTGCATTCATCCCGTTCTAACCCCCACAAACGACCCGGCTATATGCCGTAAAAGCAAGTGCATATCAATATTGACAATGAAACGGGCACCTTCGAGAGAGATAACAGTCCGTCCAAAGGAATTGATGCAAATGAACTTCGTTGGGTGGTGTTTGAACAATTTCTGCAGCGCAATGGCTGATGTAATGCGACGAAGCGTGTGACTCCGTCCGGGAGTCCTCACCGCGGGGATAAGGGGAACAGATGATTTCTGGAATCCAACTTCATTGTGCACACTTGCGCAATGATGCACTCACCATCACATCATGAGAAGTGTCCCTTGGAATCCTCTGGAAGCAAGCGTGGAGCTTTTTGTTCGCCTCGAAACGTGCTCGAGACCCAAACGATATCTTCCCCCTCTAGAACCTTCCCATTCTCCAATAGAGTTGTCAACGAGGAACCACCTGCGTTCGGTATTCTATCGTTAGCGCTCAAAGAAGAGACCGCAGGAGAGTCGACTGTCAAGGTGCAGACTAGAATCTTTGAAGGTTGAACCGTCGTTGGGAGGAGCTCCGGCTCGTAGCTTGGACTAATTTTCTAGATTATTTCGACGTCTTGAAGTTGCCTCGGCCGTCGATTTGGACGCTTACCGATGCTGACAAACCAATGCCGGAACACCTGCTTCTGAGCACAGACACAGCCAGTACCGTACTTTGTAATTCAATCCAATCCATGGGCAAAAGTCGAGCGGAGGAGCCCAACGGAAATGACTCTGCCCAGTCGCTTCGACCTATCCTTATCCTCTGCGAGGGTATAAAGGAAGCAGGAAAGTACTCCTGAAATCCATATCAGTCCCCAATGTCTCTACAGCTCTCAAATCAGCTAGATAGTGATGCTCCTCTAGAGCAACCTCATGGCGAGGAGGAGCAGGTCACCCATGCCACCTTTCCACCGTCCTACGCAGCAGCTTTGCCTTCTCCAGACTATTCACAAGCTCTTCTACCATGTGAAGAAGTCGTCGAGTCATCATTCCATCCACCCCCATACCCCCTAACACGAGTGGGCAGTAATGCTCCCTCTGTTGCCTCCTCATCGTCTCGCGCACGCACTAGTTGGCTATCCGACTGGCTCTATGAATCCTCCCTCACGTCTAGGGATAGTATCAGTGAAGAAACCGGCAGTGAACAAGCAGAGACTGCATCGATAGCCCCGACGAGCATTCACCCATCGACCGCTTCGTCTAGCAGTACAAACGCCAGAAACTCTCTTGTTTCTACCATTCCTCCCATTCCGGAAACACAAGAGCACTACCAGTATCACTCAGGTTCCATCGAGCTGGACCTTGGTCCACGCCCCGATCCTGACGAGCGCACTACCGTAACGAGCACGTTTCCCACTTATGGTCACTGTGGAACAGTGAAGGGATTCGTAAACCTAAGAAAGGTCTCCCACGTGCAGTCCGTAATAGTCGCGGTAAGCCTGCCAATTGCCATCGTCCCCGAAGAGGAGAGCGCTAAGATTGCTTTCAATTAGATCGAGGGTCGTGCACAGACTACCATCATGCAGGCAGGTTTGGCTTCAGGTCATACAGCGCTCAAGATACTGGACATGAGCAAGGTAGTATATACCGCAACGACCTCCGATGCTTCAAAAGGAAAAGGTGAGCGCCAAAACCATTTCGTTATCCCCACAAGAACTAAATGTTACCCACAAGGTAAATCCAAGGAAGCGCCCGTATCGTCCTTCCCATTTGAATTCGAGCTTCCGTCGACGGCGGACAACAGCACAGACCCGCTCCCACCAACGTTCCGAGGCGTTCACCCTGTGATGGAAGGCATCATCAAGTATATTATCAAGGTTACCGTGGTCAAGTTTGGCCTTTGGCCTCGCGAAACGTGTGTGCTTCTATCCCCAAACAAATGACCTGCTGTTCTTCCGTTCCGTCGACGTCTTGGTGTATCTCTGTACGGTGATGCTGAACAAATTTCTATTCGATCCAACGATAGGTTTTCGACGGTGATACACTACCTACCAAAGTATTACCTCCGAGACGAAGCACTTCTCTGGCCAGCTATCTCCCTCATGGATGCCAAACGGTTTGGATTGGAATGCAATAACAAGTGGAGGACTTCGAAGGCGCATCTTCTCTACGACCCGGAGGAATCCTCGAGGTTGCAAAATCCAGGAACGTCGACGTCGAAGAATGCGCCTTTGCCAGAATTGAGTGTTTCGATACCGAGTACGGCGCAGGCTGTTGCAAATTACTGCTTCCCCGTCAACGTCACGCTTTGCCTTCCTAATCACACGGAGGAATACATCGAGGAGCTATTGACTGACTCGACGAGGTTTTCCATTGCGATGATGAAGTCCATAACTATGACCGTGAATGGCCAGAAGAGCTCTCAAATCATCAACCTTGCAAGAGCAAATAAGCAACAGGTCGAAAGGGAGCTTGTGAGTAGCACAACCGAACGGATCGTGCGGGGTTGGTTCCGTGCGGGCACTAATGAGGGTGAAGCAAGTTGGAAAATAGGGGACTTGGTCGAGACAAAGGTACGAGGTTATTTTGATCCATCACTATTCGTGGCTGGTCCTGATCGTTTTGCCTGTACCCCTTCAGTATTTCATCAGGGTGACGGTCCATCTTGAACCAAAGCAGCCTCCAATCTTCAAGCATGATGAACCTATCCAGATGTTCACACACTCGAAGGAACAGTTTGCATCCCCATTTGAGATTCAAGATGCTCCAGCACCAAACTTGCTGTTGGCATCAAGCTTAGGGAACACCCGGCAACGATTTTGAAAGATATTCTCTCTGAAAGTACAGATACATGCCAAGTCGGACATGGCCGTTGTTATAATTGATACTGAAATCTTGTGATATCTATTGGACTGAATAGAACTCTGGAAAGTTCTAATATCGTGAAAAAATAAATTGTGAGGATTAACGATACCGACGAGGGTATAAGTGGGGACCGAGGAACGACGTGGAGGAGCTCACCTCTTCAGAGGCAGTGTGAAGTGATTCCCCGGACAGAGTATCGGAACTGATTGTTGATTCTCTACGGCGCATTATCGGTGCAGCTGCTCCAGGCAGGGTAGGGTCCAAGCTTCGGTTGCATTCATTCACTCATGTAGGAAGCTGGAACTGACCACAACCAGCGTGATGGCTTGCAATCAGCCAACGTCAGTACTTTACGAGACAATCACGACTACGGTTGCAGAAGGTTATACCGTCCTTCAGACTCAGTCCATCGCCTCCTTGGTCGTTTCAGGGGATTTTCCAAGTTCTGTGTAAGAGCGTTCTTCTTTCATTTTGAAAATCAGAAGCTGCTTCTAGCTTTGCTTACAATTAATTCTTACTTTAGATGCGTGGAATATAATGGTGGGCAATGCATAAGCTCGACATTACAGACCCTGGCCTTCACATACACCAGTTGAGTCTACTTCAGACAACTCGCCAAACAACGAATATCGCGATACTAAACAAATCACAATTATAATCAACAGCTTACGCAACATATCCTCAAACGTTGACGACGAACGCAGTCCGGACGGTCACTAGTACTGTACCGACATTGACCTTATATGGAAGTTGCTCTGCCTCGCAGGTTACACAAACTCTACCAAATGGATCTGTAACGGTCTCATCTATTTATGTCACGGTGACTCCAACCCTAGCTTCTGATACCGGAGGAAGTAGGAGTAATAAGAACGGGTAAGTCACAGCGTCCATTGAAACTCTTAAATAAGTTTACAATAGTTCTTTGAAATTCTAAAATCTTTGTAGGGCTATTATTGGTGCCGTTGGAGGTGCTGTAGCGTTATCGTTACTGCTCGGAGCCATATGGTTTCTGTGGAGGCGAAATCGGCAAATGAGACAACAACTCAAGGAAGCGGAGGAAGAAGAAAAGAGAAATACGGCAATAGATGTTGGGACTCTATTACCATCACCTTACACAGAGGTCAGCTGGATTACATCGTTTCGGGAGTAATCCCTTCTAACAACCTCTACCTACCAGTTTCCTCGAAACCAATCCGCTACTCCCACATTTGGGAACTCGCCTTATTCTCCGTACAGCCCAGCGGTAACCCATAGCGCGAGATTTGATGGAGATCCTTCGTACGGACACCACGCCCTCACCCAAGAAGAACTCGCCCTTACTGGCGGTGTCGCCCCTGTCGGTGCTATGAGCGCAATAGGGACGACGCAATATACACCTACACATTCGCGTGCGGGTTCTTTCGTAACCCAAGATCCCACTGGTCGCCCGCAATCTGCCACATTCAGCGCAATAGGAAGTGGAGGGGCGGCCAGTAGACTAGCGCAATCCCCCGAGTTCTCCTCTGCATCCCCTATTTCGGGGGATGGTCGTGGCTCGCCAAGCATAATCTATTCAGCAACCGAGTCCAGCCAAGCACCAATGTCATCAGCTGCGAGTGCCAAAGCCCGCGAGGCGTTTCAAAATCGGAGAAGTGCGCTGTATGCCCAGAATCAGGGTGAAGAAGGAGAGCCTTATGCACAAGACGATATTGTTATGCCTGCTAACGCTACACGGTTACGCTCCGCTGCCCCACCGCCATCTGCATGGGCCGGTCCTCCTCCAGCGTATACGCCAGATCATGAAGATTGACGCGCAACTTTATTGGAGGGAGAGATTGGCGGGTGTCCCCGCGGCTCGGCCCTTCGCCGAGCTTGACGAACACAATTATTTAAAAAGCTAGATTATTGTCATCG